ATCTTGAATTCAGCGACGAATAGTAATGACGTAATTTTTATTTTTTATTAATGACGTAATTGTCATTTTGTGGCTAACGATCCAAGATCCGACACAAATGCGTGCCGAAACCTAGAGTCGCTGCGGGCTCTGCCCAGCGACTAATAATACATGGGTGCGCGGAAATACCAGATTTATTTCGAGTGTTGAACATGATACCTCACGAGTGAGCGCAGCGAACGAGTGAGATACTCATGTTCAACACGAGAAGTAAATCTGGGATTTCCAAGCTCCCATGTATTTTTCTGTTTATTATACAGTATAAACAAAATTCAGTGAAAAACAATAAAACGTCCGTGGCAATGCGTTTTACAACAAATGATATTTTCACACGTAAAAATATCGTATTTTTTACGTGTGTTTAAATACGATTTTTCTCAGTGGCCAAAAACTCTATATAACACTTAACTTTATATAATAAATAACTTTACTTGTGCATGTAGGCGGAAACGCCGAAAGTTTTATTTGTAGGCGGGCACCGCATTTTAGTACTGTGTCTGGTTACTCAATTAGTCTCGAACAATGTAAAGTAGCCATACATTTAGCCGACCATAACTTCGGCCCCTTTGGACATATCGTTTTCGCAATAGCCTTATTCGAACCAGAATCCAAAACACTATTTAGAGTGTTATTTTCAAGCTTGTGTCTTCAGATTTGCATCTTTTATTTCGGTATTACAAAATATTTATATTTTTAGCTGGCCGCAAAACCGAAATACAATTTCAAATTGAATCATCAAAACAAAGCAAATCATCGTCAGTCTTTATTAGCTTCAGATAGTTAGGCTTGCCGAGCCCCGGCAACGAAAAAATTGCCTCTCGTAATCCGCTGTTCTACAATGATCCGAGCATATAGTCGAAGTCTTTGACGGCACAAACAAACGCTTTGCGCGTACAAAATCAACCCATACTTTTCTTCGTCTTTTAGCTTCCGCGTGTTCGTCATTGAAGTATGGAATATTGTGTAGACTTATTCCATCTTTTAAGCATGCTTTATTGGTACAATTAGCTGCAAAACAGTAAAAAGGCATATCTTTTTCGATCACAAATCTACCTATATACCGCCGAGAGTTGATAGTGCTAGTATAGTCGAATAATCGATAATAATTATTAATATTATAAAAAACACCACACTATGAAACCTTGTAAACGAATAATTGAAAAAGAACCAACCATGAACAACGGATAACTTTTTAGCAAGTAAATTTGAAGATTTATGGGATTCATATGTAAAAAACATATTACTGACTCTGCTTGGAAATTTCAGAAAAATCTGGTTTTCTCCAGTTATAATATATAGTTAAGCTTATATCCGACGGGTATAGCTATCCATGCGAGATATGGACATTCTGGCGCGCAAATTTTAATTACTGTAGGTATTTTTACTTCAATACTTTTGAGTCAAATTGAAGTATATAGGGTTGTTTTGGAATGGTATGTTTTTGATTGGATAGACATGGATGTCAGTCTAGTACCAGAGTTTAGTACGTAGCATAGTATTATGTATCCATGTATTTTTAATTAGTACGGTTTCCCGCTAGAAGGCGTGTTCGTATATCGCTACACCAGATTTATATCCTTGCTAAACAAGCCTGGATCCCTGATCAAACGAATATAGGTATTGAATCAATCGGGAGAAGAAACACACAAATCATATCTTCAACCATTTCACCATATTCTGTGTAATTAATTGAACAGCATATTACTATATAAAACGTATACACATACCTTTAACAAAGCACTTTTTTACGCGTATACGAGCTCATTTTATGTTAAGCTGAAGACAAAGACTGTTGAGTAATGCTACACGGCCAACATGCAAATATATAGAGCAAAAAATAACTTGAATTAACTTCGGCGTAGATTTGGGCCTTTAGGGTTGATATCCAAGAAGCACTGATCTGCATAATAATAGCACATGATTTAACATTCCTTCTCAGTTCAATGCACAAAAGCAATTTTCAAACACATGATTAATTAAAAAAAAATTTACAGGGTGTCCCCCAAAAAAGCAAAACTATTGAATAACGTATTGTTACGGAATTTACAACTAAGCTAAGGGAAACAACATCTCTCCGTTGCAATAATTAGATAGATGTTTTTTCATGTCGCTATTACAGTAGTTGTTCATACAGTTTAGTCGAGATCTGGTCGGACCAAACTGCAATATACTTTCCGATGATCTTGTGGTTGGACGCGTTTGAGTATAGCCTCGATAGTGGGAACAAACGTTTACCTTATTAACATATTCTCACAGTCCATTTATTAACATATTCCCCCCAAAACCAAAACTATTGAAATAACGTATTGTTAGAATTTGAATGCCTCAGCACTCTGCTGAATCCACAAGTGCATAAAAGCTTGACATAAGTAAATTTTATGCATAAAGAAACTGTTTAAGAAGCTGCTTTAAATTCACAAGAGCAGAAAATCGTGCGCCTTACAAAGATATTTTAATTTCTTAATAAGTCAAAATTTATAATATATGCACCCTGTCAATACAGGTTACAGGGTAACCCAAAAAATCCCACAACTATTGAAATAACGTATTGTTAGAATTTGAATGCCCTAGCACTAAGCTGAATGCAAAGATGTGCAAAATTATAAATATTGACTTATTAAGAAATTAAAATATCTTTGTAAAGCGCACGATTTTCTGCTCTTGGAAAGCGCACGATTTTCTGCTCTTGGAAAGCGCACGATTTTCTGCTCTGCGAATGCGATTTTATGCATAAAATTTACTTTTGTCAAGTTTTTATGCAATTGTGCGTTTAGCAGAGTGCTGAGGCATTCAAATTCTAACAATATGTTATTTCAATAGTTTTTGCGTTTTCTGGGACACCCTGCATTATTTTAGTATTTTGCGCATCTTTGCGTTCAGCTTAGTGCTAGGACATTCAAATTCTAACAAGACGTTATTTCAATAGTTTTGGGAGTTTTTTGGGGTTTTTCATGTATATTTAGTTAAGTTTCTTGGCAATCAGCCGCAAAGGCGGTGAGGTGAGAAAAATGGATAATTTAATTTTTACTATTATAATCTTTTGCATCTGTTCTAAGAAACATATCGGCATAACATAATAAATGAAATTGAAAGAACTTAAAAGTCTGGTTACAACTCAATATATAGTGATCAGTAGGGGGAAATGAGTGGAAATCTGGCTTATTAAATCGTCCATTTTCAATGCGTCCATCTTCAAATTAGAGCGCTGCACCCTGCATGAATAATGTATTAATGATGCATTACGCAAAGATCATATACTGCATGGAACGGGTTCCAAGTCTAAACTCTGAGCACGCAAGGGATGATGGGTTTTCACCCATTAGGCCCTTAAACTCAGAGAATTGCCTTTGCAGCAAATATGTTTTCTGTCGTGAGTCTTCTATATGTCTTAGGTATTCTTGCAAAGTCAAATTTCAAAGTTTATGAGCCTAAATAAGCAACAACCCATCATCCTTTGCGCGCTCAGAGTTTAAGGTTTACGTTTTTTAAAATTGAATTAGCTGTAAATGTGTAACTTAAACTGTTAAAAAAATAAGACGTAAAATTTCGACTTCAAAGTCGTTGTCAAACCATTTGTAATGACTCATCAGTCATTGTAATGACTATTGTCCAAGTATTATTTATTGTGTGTAATAACTGTGCTTTGTAAATTGTTTCTGTACTATATTGGGGCCGCAGTGACTGGCAATAGCTGTTGTGGTGTCCCAGCCAGTCAATCTTACATATGATGGCAAAGTTATTTGAGTTTATAGTATAAAATGATACCATGCATTCGAAGTATTATTTGGAGTTGATGCATGAGTGTTCAAATGATGATAGTGCAGAATTATCTTCCGTAATTAGACGTCATAAAAGAATTTGGCCATCTGGTAGCGAATCAGAAAGGCAATCAGACTTCCTACAACCTAAAATGAAAATAGGAAAAATATATTCATTTAATTTTCTGCAAAAATAGATACCATATAGCAGTTACTATCACAAGGGACGTTTGGTGCATACGGTGATACGGGGAAGGGCTGGACACAAGGAGCCCATCATGGGTCTTATTGAAATTATGTATTAGCATTACATATCAGTGAAATATATAGCTCAGTGTTGAAGCCTGCAATTTGCGGGCTGGGTGATTTTTATCAGAGACTGCCACCACCCCACGTGAGATGAGACAACTTTGATCAGAGAAATATTTGTGCTAGCTTCCGGACAAAATACACGATATATTTGCGTTGCATGTTTATTGATATCAAAAAGAAAGAATAAAAATTTCAATACCTGAATAACAAGAATATATATTGTAAGTATCTTCTCATTGGTTGGTCCAGCCAATCTCAGAACAAAATTGATCAATGTCAAATTATTTATTTCTATGAACTCCTTATCCTCACCGACATCCCGCTTCACATCAATCAAGTGAAATGTCTCTAAAACTCCTAAACTCAGCCTTCCAAGAAAATTTAAATCCGATTCTTTAAAAATCGATTTGCTGGTGTAATGAAGACCAGTTTCTGGATTAAGCCTATAAATAGTATAAGAAATAAAAAAAAATAAAAAATATAAGAGCTTGCAAAAGTTTTTAATGTGGCAGTCAGGTCAGTTCCGCTCATACGTCTGTTTTATAACATATTGTATGATAATTTATTTTATAAACAAAAGTGTTATATGGAGTTTTTGGCCACTGAGAAAAATCGTATTTAAACACACGTAAAAAATACGATATTTTTACGTGTGAATATATCATTTTTGCAAGCCAATCAAAAAGCGCGTAGGAAATATGTTTGACCAATCAGAGAACTTGTTGTAAGACGCATTGCCACAGATGTTTTATTGTTTTTCAATTTAGTTTATATAATAAACAGAAAAATACATGGGTGCTTGGAATCAAAGTTACAGATTCATGTCTGTCGTTTTAGGGACCGGTCATTATTTATGGCGGGGGGTGGCACCGAAGAGAAAAGGGTTGGGTAAACTAAATTTTGAGTAAGTAAAAGGTTGGGTAAATGAAAAACAAAACAACTCAAGGGTTGGGTAATAAAAAATTATTGTCATTTCCAAAGCATGACTCACTGAAGTATTGGGGACTAAAAAGCAATGGCAACAGTAGGCCCTACTCTGGGGCAATAACGAGATAATGCGAGTTTAAGCAATTTTAGGTGATTTAAGCAAAATCTGCAATATAAGCAATGCGAGTTTGAGCGATATAGGGCAATGTAAGAAAACAATTAAAATTTTAGGGAATGCTGTTTTAGGTGTTTAGAGGTAATTTCAGGAATATACAACTATATCCCTGATGACTCCAATGAAATACCATTAACCTATGCCAAGCATCCAAACATGAGTGTTCCCACATACACACACACACATACAGTTATGAAGCAAAATATTATATACAATTTAACAAAAAAAGTTGAAGTCTGCTTGAGGGGGTTCTGGAAACAAACAATACACTGTATGCGCATGACGATCAAGTGTTTAAAGGGTAAATAAGCTCAATATTCATGACTTTTTCCATCCATTGTCTATTTCGAAGCCATTGGGGTATTATTAAATTCATGACACAACTATAATACATGACCACATGTTCACATCATATGCAATTGCAAACAATTTTCAAAGGAGTAGGGTACAGAATTGCAATATAACAACATATAAGTAAATTATACAAGTCATGAACTTACCAGTTTGTGTTGAGTTAAATTTAAACATTTTTATGACATCAAATATTATTTATTTACTTGCAAATCAAAACATTTTAAAATTCTCGTGTTTTGTTTTGTATTGCGCCCGTGCTATATTAATGGTATTAACCGCTGTGAATATGATATACATTTTTAATACATTACATTTGCGCCCAAAAGTTCAGGAAGTGAGTTTCTAGAAAGGATGAAAACTCCGTTTTATACATGGTATGTAAAAGGTAATCGTTGTTTACTGTTTATTTTGTATTCAGGTATGGGGAATTTAAGCGATGAGAGTTGCAAAACTTGCAAATGTAGTCTGACTAGTTTCTTTGATGTCATCATGCAACTATTTAAAGGTGATCTACAGTCCGATCTGCGCATGTGCACAAATGAGCCCACTTTTTATGATACAAACAGTTTAACTATGTTTTGAGTTCTTGAAAAGCCTAATTGTTGTTTCTTGATCATTTATTATACTCTAGAAGCTTGAAAATATAAATAGTTGTCGAATAAAGCTCAATATTTTCGACACAAAAATGTAAACAAAGGCTTTGTTTACATACGGACTGTAGATCACCTTTAATATTGTGCTACATTCATTATTCAATTTATTCGCAGCAATTAGCCTTCTATAAGCCATACAAACGATTATAGCTTATAGCCCACCTTGCCTTTAACATTGATCCTATATATAATGAATTAACATAGCTAACTTGATTATGTTGCTAGTCAAGTTTGGGACCTATGGGTCTTCTAGATCCTAGAGTAGCACAATTAATATAAATTCTCCGTAAGGCGGTAATATTAATTAAGACTGTTCTTATTTATGCATGACCTTTGACTATTAAGTGGCCAAAAATTGTGCCTACAGTAATCAACTTATTCCACTATCCAGGTTGCATCACTTTTGATTGCAAAACACCCGGGTTTATTATATATGGATTTGCTAGCAAAATAGCAGCAATTGATGAACTTGGTGTTATACTAAGATTTACTGAATGTGTAAAGAAACAACGAAAAGTATATATCAATCAGAGTCATTATCTTGATCAATTTCCGATGGGATCTCCAAAGAAAGTAGCTACATGTGCAGACAACATGAAACTTCAGACTGCAGAAAATTTCACAATCCGTTATCAAACTTATGTCACAGAAGTGGTAAAGGACATATGTGACAACTGAATGGTACCTTTTGTAAATTTTTTGGCCAGGGGTGGGTATTTATTTATTTTTTAATTGATATTCGAGGTTGGGTAATCATTTTTTTTTACTTTTTAATGGTTGGGTCAGCAAAATTTTTGCTACGAAAAACATTTCTCTTCGGTGCCACCCCCCGCCATAAATAATGACCGGTCCCTTATGGGTTAGAGACATGAATCTGCAACAGGATATTATTCCATTGAACTAAAAATAACTGGAACGCTACGTTCAAGCGGAAGTTTGAAGCTAAATTATACAAACTCGTACACAGGCTTTAAAAGGCCCGTTTTAAACTGAAAAGGCCCGTTTCCCTTTCGATTCGCATCTTGCCATGAAAACGTTCAAAACGGCATGCTTCAAGCGTCCCCTGTATTGTCTCGCGAATAAATCGCGCAGTAGAAACACGCGTGGAAGTGCGTGTCTGGGAGTCAAAACTGGCTTCATTTGGCTTCATGGGAGTCAAATTTTGGCTATGTAAAACGTAGCGTTCCAGTTATTTTTAGTTCAATGTATTATTCCGGACAACCGCTGAATTACCATGGATAAAGACAAAAATTTTGTCGCGTCTTTAAAGGGAAGGATGCATGTTCAACACTCGAAATAAATCCGCGCACCCATGTATTACTCTCTATATTATAATTTAATTACAGCTCGAACGGGCAAACCAAGGCCGCTATTGCATATTTTTGATGTTTCAATCACCACCGGGTTATTTTGACTAAACATTTTCCGGTTATGAACTTATGACATAATCATATGTTTAATAACCTGCTGCTGATTGGTTTTGGCTTAGTTTGAAAACATTAAAAATATGCAAGTGGCCTCGGTTTGCCTGTTTGAGCTGTAATACTAATTCTATGTACTCCAAGATAGATTTTTTAATTGAATTGTAATACAAAACAAGATTTTTATTGAATTAAAATACAGAATATTATGCATTCAGACATCATCACACGGAACTGACGAAAGGTAAAATTGAGTAGCTAAAAAGGAGATATATTGTATAATTATGTGCTTGATAAAATGCTCAAGCATTTAGCATTTGTTGTAGACAGAGATCGCAAGCTGTGGAACTGTATAATAAACAATTCAGAACATTCCTTGTATGATTTATTGCCTTCGAAGCGGAAAAGAGTGTTACGTAAACGGGAACACGATTTCATTCTGCCTAAGGTCCGAACAGAACGATTTAAAAAAACATTCATAAATAGATGGCTTTTTAACTTTGTATATAAAACTATATCCTTCATATTTTTTTAATACTTTTTCAATACTTTTAGTACTGTCTAGTCCATAGTTGTACAAAATTATCTATGTAAGCTCGCACGGTTGTTGCGCAGTATTTTTTAATAAAGAGTTCAATCAATCAACCAACCAACCAATCAATCAATTAATCAATCAAAAAACTTCGACGTTGCCTTCCCTCAAAACGTGTCATCTTTAAAAACTGTGGCAATTGATACACCAGGCGGAAATCGTAATTTCGTATCCATTGTTATATTCACTTCAATGAGTCGTATCATCCGCGCAAGTTCCCAGTTTGTCTCCTAAAAATACACCTTCCCTTTAAAGACGCGACAAAATTTTTGTCTTTATCCATGGTAATTCAGTGGTTGTCCGGAATAATATCCTGTTGCAGATTCATGTCTCTAACCCATAAAACGACAGACATGAATCTGTAACTTTAATTCTAATACTAACCCATGCTGGTATTGCATCATTGTCGGGATATGAGTAAACAGGATTTAGTTTGCCCAAAGAACATTTTGGCTGGTCCATGTAGGACTCTGGGCAGACAATTTCGCAAGCCAGATTTATGACTCATATTCTAAAGGTCCGTTTGCACACTGCGATTTGTCGTATACGATTCGTGTTCTGATACATGAAAATTACTGTTGCATGACACCACACTTCTTCATTTCGTTTATGGTGAAATTTGAAATAAAACCACTTTACGCGAACACCGCGGAAAAACGTCTGCGCATGCGTCAACCTTACTGAAATTTGCCTTGCGAAGGTGGTGTCAAGTGCACGTTCCGAAGATTGTCAAAAACTCAAAATGGAAGCTACAAGGAGCGACTTCGATGTTTTGCCTTTTCTGTGACAACCTAAAATCTAGAAATAATTACAGTCTACATGTACAGGAATAAATTTGGTGACTGTCGATAAATTTATTGTATAAAAAGTTCTTTAACTGAACAATACAAATATGATATTTTTCGTAAGTTCATATGATCCACATTTTTCTAAATAACTTTTTTTGCGTAATCAATAATTAAACTTTATGACTCACTCGGAAGATTTAGGATATTAAGAGCCTTATTTTCTTGAGAGTTCGCTTATTTTTTAGGTCTAAACATCCCAGTTGAACCTAGCCTGCGTGTCAGGCTCTATGCTTGAAATAGAGCCTGCTACTGAAGTTAATAAAAAGTGGATTTATGCGTACGAATCGTACGCAAAATTCCCATTGGTCAGAAATAAATAGCCTTGCCTTATAAGGTAATATCAAGTTATTTACATAATATGATATTCCGTACTAGTAATTGTACTTTTGGCCGTATTAATTACTAGTAGCCTTTGCTGTCTATAAACACGGTCAATAACCGTTATTATTATTTAGTATGTAATTTCTGGACGTTTAATGAAAATTGGAATATTTATTTTCGCGATAATGGCGGAAAAATTGACCGTTATTGTCATATCTTAAATTAGCTTTGATAATCTAATTAAGAATCGCCGTTTTGATTGGTTGTTATTTTCATGCATCCAAACGACTGTTCACTTTTCATCGACGTCAGTAGCAGGCTCTAATTCAAGCATAGAGCCTGGCACGCAGGCTACGTTGAACCCGTTTAAACAAGACATTTTTATTTAATTTATACTTCTTATATACTTTAAATGCTATAGAGGACTCATGATTAAGGTCTAGTGTACCCGTTTTCTATATTTTCTTGTTTGTTTCACTTATATTGAGCGAGTAAATAGCCATATTTTTAATTGAGTAATACAATTTAAAATGTTCGCCATTTTTATGTTCGCCACGTTATGTTCATATTAAAATGTTCGCCACGTTTTCCCGCGGTGTTCTTTGCGCGTGCTCTTTCGATAACATGCGCCAGAAAACGAATCGTGCACGACAAATCGCAGCGTGTAAAGTTACCATTAAATTATTTCCTTAAAAAATAAAATATTTCATTTGTAACAACTTACTTTGGTAACCTGTGTCTTGGACAAGGTATAATGTGAAAAAGTTGCGGCAATGAATATAGAAAGTTTAAAACTTGAGGAATAAAAAACAGCAATAAAGTTTTACTAAAACGACCAAGGATTCCTACAACAGCAAACGTCATACCAGCGAAGTAACAATATGTATCACCAACAAAAACACTTGAAGGATACCTGAAATGATTGGCAGAGATTCATGAGCCATTAATATGACCATATACCTATCTCCTCCGCAGGCCTTTCGATGCGGGAGGGAATAATTTGCGGGCGTGAAATTTGAGATCAGGGAATCCTTACCCACCCGCAAACTTTTCCCGCCCTCAACTAGCGCCAGCCTTAAAATTCACGCCCGCCTTTAACGCCTGCGGAGGAGGTAGATCATATACACTATTCACTTCAGCTCCCACAAAGCGGTGAAATGTTTCTTTTAAATAACACATTGCTATAATTTACTTTGTGGAAAGAAACGGATTCCAAAGAGAAATGAAATCTTGAAAATTCGGGATTTTATTCGCTACTTTTCTGGCAACAGTTTGTTTTTTTGGGTGTTTTTTTTTACTGTTTTAAAATCATATTGCATTGAAAAAAAACCCACATAAAAAGATACGATTGAAGGACAACAGGACTGACATCTTGAACAGTCTGTGCCAGCACAGTTAATAGAATACATGGTTTGGAGACTCGATGAAAGTACAATATAACTCATCAACTATATTGGTTTCGGTTTCTGCACGAATTTGGGCCTATCTCGTCACGTGTGTATTGTATTTTTGACCAACTGAGCTACGTAGTTGGAAGAGCATTGGGCTAGTATTCCAAAGGTCGTAGGTTCGAATCCCACCGTGGCCGGGCATATTTTTCAAGCTCGCCCGGTGTGGATATGCACTCAGAGTAACACCACAAATAACAACTGATATTGTTTGAGCGGCATTTGACACGAAATATCTTCCAAATTCTTGGACGTTCAACGTTAAAAGTTTAGTTTGTTGAGGTAATATTCGTAAGTTTAGCTTTAAAATACTGCATATTAAAGAGGATGACGACTTAATGCCCGAAGGTAGGTTAGTCCAAAAGGAGTGCGATTCTATTGAAGTAGGACGATCTGAAGTGTTATTGTAGTTTCTTCTGATAACGAAAATCTGTTGCATATACTTCGTCACAATAACTCAGTCAAAACAAATAATTTTCGGGTTTCATGTCTACAGTTATAGTTACATATTTTAATATGTGATAGTGCATATTTTTGTAACAAAATAGATTAGTCATTTTGTTAACTTACCAATTAAAATAAAATAATGCTGAGGAAACAGCGAGAAATGGAACTAGGAGATATAATGAGAAGAGATGAGCTCGCCAACAATCTCCTTGTAACTCAATGCAGTTAAATACCATGACAGACAATGTGATAACCCAGGATTGGCCAACTTCCACACCATTTATACCAGCTACAATATTGATGGCATTTGTACAGAACACAGCAAGCATGCCCATGTACACATAGTAAAGTGCACCTAAATGATAAAAAGAAAAGTGTTAGCAAAGATGATAAAAAGAAAAGTGTTAGCATAGATTGCTTTCACTGATCAGGTGACAAATTTTGAAACCACTAAACCACTAAAGCTTCAACATTGGTTGCTTCACTTGTTTTCTAGATTGCTAACTAAAAGGTTTGAGGCAAAACAATCATTTCTATTTACATTATTACTGACGTCCGCATTATTGTCGAAGGCTGTTAAGCCTGTTGTACAATTTAGTTTCGAAACACTTGGGTAAGGTAAAGATTGAATTGATATCTAAACGAAACTTATTAGGATTTAAGACATTTGGGTTAAGATTCAGCTTTATTCGATCAAATGTTTTTGGCTTTGTACACCAACATGGTAGCCAAAAATCAAATTATCATCATCAATCTTTCTCTACGCTCATACAAACTATATCCTCTTTTGTTCAATCACACTACCCTACTCTCTTCCCCCTCCATACATGATTCTAGTAAGATCACAAGAAATATATTGCATACTTGTCATAGCTGACAAGGAACAACGTTATGCTTCATGTCAAATCCATTAAAAACCCTACCTAGATTTACAGTTATTCCGAGTATAAACCTCAAGGGTTTGGGTACAACAACAGTCGTGGATCCATAGTTGACGATATACACCATGAGAATAGGAAGTGATGCCATTGTAGGAAGCAATAACTTATGTCGCCATTTTAGGTTTAGTACATCATCAGCAAATCCCAGAAATATCATACAACAGATAGACAATAGAGCAGCTATCCACTGGACAAACTACATTAGAGAAAATTAATCTTGAACGATATCGGAAACAAAATTATGTTTCTTGTAATTTTGCGTGGCAAATAACGTCAACTTACGTGGTGTTTCCACTAACACAATTATGTTTATTTGAAAATAACTTTTAAACAATTTTTCAATAACGTTTTGCTGCGTTTTTGAAATAACATTTGACGTTCATTTGCGGGGTGATAAATGATATATAGTCAACATTGATTGTATTAACACTTGATCATTTTTCTGTTTCAAATTCTCATACTTACATATTCACTTTTTGATCTGAGAATTTTATTTCGGACAGGTTAAGTTGATATGGTGTGTAAGGAATTTTTCGCATTTCAAAATGTGTACCCACCCTGCCCATGACATCATAGATTTAGTCTATTTGTACATATCAAACAAGTAGAAGTATTTCAAAAATGAAGAAGGAAAAAGAAAGTGCAAAGTAATTTGCATCGCTGTTTGAAGAGTTTAATTTATAATTGCCGATGTCTTACAGTGTAAAGCAGCAACACGACTGAGGAATAAAATCATCCAGGTTTTATAAATTCGTCAATCCACTCAATCGTAACTACCGTTTCAACGTGTTGACTGTTTTTGCCGTTATTTCGATTACGAGATTTAAAGTACAACGTAAGGCCTAAGGAAAACGCACAAACGGTTAATACGCATAAATACTGAAGATGCGTGCTAAAATGAACATCCTCGTAATTTCTTTCAACTCCTTCCAACGTGTATAACCCATCATAGGTACTTTATATCATGAAACATTACCTCGTGATGAGGAAAATCATTAGCACCATTCTCCCACCATGCTTTCCAAAAGGGAAATGGTATAAAGACAAAGACACATATCAAATACACAGCTCCACATAACACACCCATTGCTTCAGGACTAAAAAAACGAAAAGAAATTGAATGTGTGGTTTCATTGTAGGTACAAAGCGAAACATCGATCTTTTCACCGTGGGTAGATTTTATTGAGAGTGGAATGGGTGGATCCTCCGCAGAAACTCAGTCCCCCTTGAGGAACAGAACATTAGAACAAAACTTTGGAAAAAGTTAGCATAAGTGCATACTGAAATTTATTGCATCACGCAAACATCAAAGACGTAAGATGCATAACTATGCTTCGCATCAGAATATTTAGCACTAAATTGTGCGCCGTACACCTTACAGGTGCCGAACACCTATTATGTGATTTAATTTTTAACCAAAATGTCCCCAATTTCGTTCCGAACTTCGTAAATTGCATCTACAAATTGACAGCTAAGATGAGCTTGCTCATCTTAACAGAACATGTGTAGATTGCACATGATGATATGTACTTAATATTAATGAGGCAACTACTGAATTATAATTACTTCAAGTTGAAGTCGGCAAAGTTTTTTGATTTATTGATAGAATTTTAAAGTTAAGAAAAGCTGAAAGGCTCAAAAACAATATTACGTGACTCAGTAAAAATTAAACAGAACACTTTAAACTTACAATTTGAGCCTTATTTTGTTGCAATACATCAAGTAAAACAAAACAAACAGCGTGCGAAAATGTTTTACTGAGCCCACAATGCTAAGCAATGAATACTCAATGTCAGCCGCCATGTCCATTTTTTGTACAATTTCTGGTCGTGATAAAAATTTCATAATGAAATTCAGAAGCAGGTTTGAAAACAAAGCCTCTGGTTGGGTACTAAAAGGTGGATAGTGAAATGGGTTGTCTCATGGATTTCATTACGAATTTATGAAGTTCGGAACATCGGAAACTTAAATTTATATTTTCACTTGAATTTCATGGACTACATGAGGGATACTGTACAGTACATCTTGCACGAGCCAGGGAAGCAGATGAAGAATTGGTTGAAAGAGGAATCATGGAACCTAATTATTAAGAGATAAAAGGCAGAATAAACAGGAATTAGAGAATTAGATGGCAATTAGGCAGGGTTCAGAATAGAAGCCAGCAGCTGGCAAATTTTGCTGCCTATGGCATAGACAATCACCAGTTGTTTCTTGAAAGTATAACCTAAAAGATTCCCTCTTCACCATAGAAATATTCCAGCAAAAATCCACAAGTCTGTCACAACAGATTTTTGCCCTCTGTATGTGCAGGGGGGAAATCCATTTACAGACAATTTGTAATATTATAGTATAAAAATGTACTGGGAAATCGTAGTTAACTTCCAACTTCCTCTGTCTGAAGGTATGGATGCTTTGTGGAATGACCAAATATCATATGTTATGCATAATTGATCCTATCTTTTGACTGTACTGTATAGTGGCAATGACCTTCTCCAATTAGCTGATACGTAACAACCCAAAAAACTAATTAAAGAACCAGATTCCATAAATTGAACCCAAGCTAGTTTTAAAAAATATAAATGCTGACCTAGATGGAAATGTCTGGGTTTCACATAATACATATTATTTTATACATTGCAACAGTGATCCAGTATGGAATAACTTTTTTGTGCACTAGACAGTGAAACACACAATTCTTCTTGTGCACCAAATGTATCCAATAGTGTGTACAATTGGGTGTCACAAGAAATGCTAATGATGTTAAATAATATTATTATTTCCAAATTATACGTGTAAAGACATAAGAAACTGCACACCATGATAATTATGATATCCATATGACATAATAGGAGTCTGGATATTCCCCCTGCCAGGTATATTCAGAAATTTAGAACCTCGACCATTTCCTGGCAGTTTTAGTGGCCTTTTCAAGTTGAAAACAAAGCAATTCTAGGTACTATACTAATATTTCTTCTAATCTACAAACAATTTAATTTTTCAGTTGGTCATATGATAATAAAGGTCCATTTGATTATAAAGGCCCATTTACAGGATACGACTTGTTTTATACAATTGTCATTCTGGCACATGAAAATGAATGCTGACAGCACTATTCCTGTCCATCCATTTATAGAGAAATGTGACATCTACACACGTTTTAATTGAGTACACACATCAGGACAAGACTCACAAGAGTTGTATATGACTACTTGTATTGTGTAAATGGGCTTTAGTACAGTATGTGCACCAGAGATAACCAAATTGAGAATTGTGCACCAGCATGTGACCAAATGCTTTCATTCCATACTGGGCTATGATTGTAGCATATATTGGCTATACATTCTTAGCATACTAGTACCACTCTGGAAGACATTCCTGAATAATAGAGCTGTGAGAGGCCATAGGGGAATTTTTGCTCTAGCAGGGCACAAAATAGCGGACAATCAATGATCGACTGGAAATTGCTTTTGATTGGCAGAGAAGCAAGGTTGTTAATCATCTTGATCGGCAAGAACCATTGTCTCAAAAACATGGTTAATGTCATTAACGAACACCATGCAATACTACGGCATTATCACATAACATATAAACATAACATATAAACAGAACATATCCTATACTGATCGGCCAGATTTGCTCAGCAGAAAATCATGATCGGGAATGTTGGAAACGTTATTTTGAGCCCTGCACCACTGGCCCCCAACTCGAAAATCAAAATGGACCCCCAAAGGCCCTTAAAATTACTTCATAACTTTAGATTCAGTGCCAGATATTATACAATGAAGTGAGCCAGTATATTGTAATACACTCTCCTCCAGGGTAAAATATCAGCAATTTTGAAACTTTCTAGCCAGATGGAGCTATTAAGATAACAAAATATAAATAATATCTTCATTACTAAGAATAAACATAGCTTACATCTCTGGTTTGTCCTTCTTTCCCAAATCTCTACCTTTCAATCCGGCTGTGATAAACATCTCTCTCATAGCAGGAATAATTTTCAACGTCAAAAGAAATCCAGCTACAGAGAATAGCACATTCAAAACAAGAGGATAGACGACCATTTTGAAACAATTCGAATGTTGCTCATTACAACCATTGTCCACGAATACCGACATTACTGGCTTTGTTACTAATTCTTTTTCGTAAAATTCTGTTTTCACTATTAATTTTGATAGTTAGTAAAAACAAAATGAACTAAATAAAGTCATAGTTTATTAGCAGCGGCGAAATCCAAATTCCACGTACTATAGCGGCTAATTAGCAATCGTAGCCGCCATATTGAAAATCAGCGCACCAGAGCGTAGCCAGGATACCAGAGTCTGGCACTAGATTTTAGTGATGGGCGATACCACCAGTATCGGATTCGATACGGATTGGCTTTTTCGTAAAAGTATCGAGG